CCCCAAAACCCCAAAACCCCAAAACCCCAAAACCCCAATGTTATTAATATTTTTGAAATAAACCGAGATGTCCGAAATAAAATTAGACGTAAATCTGAATGAGCTCTTTATGCTCTCTTATGACTTCGATAACCTCAAGAAAGCTCTGGGAAAGATCTTAACAGCGATGAATGATACCAACAAGAAGGTGCATAATCAGAACATGGAGATTAAGCAGTAAATATTGCAGCTTATGTATAGTATGAAAGAGCAGATTGATAAAAGAGACCAATCAATTCAAGATCTTACTGATCGTGTCAAAGATTTGGAGAAGAAAACTCGTGAACAGTCCCAAGAGATTCAAGATAACTCTTCCAATATTACAACCCACACTAATGTTCTTAACGACCACACTAAAAGAATTGAAAAACTTGAGAAAATCACTGATGATATCCAAACAAAATTAGGTAAGTCCAAGCTCCACAGATCTCTGACTTCTCATAGACGTACTTGGAGATGGCGGTCTCGACCTTGATTCCATCCAAAAGCTGTTAGAGAATCTCAAGAGTGATTTTGACAGCAAATTCGTGCTCAAGTAAGCCTTCGAAACACTTCAGATTTTCATAAATAAAAGTATAAATAAAAATAAGAATTTGTTCCTAAGAAAGATTTCGTAGCAACTAGACGGTTAAGATTTATTCACCTGAAAGCTATCAGCCAATGGCACTATCACTAGAATTTGCTTTCATGGCCAATGTAACAGTCCCAGCTCAATGATATTAACTACCTCTATAGGCAAGTGTACGAAGCTTTCGAGACAAAGTGCGATAACTTATTTGATGACAACAAGATTCAGCATGAAAAATTCAGTGAAGACATCCAAACGCTTTTCGATAAGAAGGCTGATAGAGATGAGCTTAAGGAAATGCTTGATCAAATAAACAACCTCTTGAAGGAAGTCGAGGAAGCGATGAAGTGGAAGCAACCTCTAGTCCAGATTACCAACAGGATCGACAAAGTTGAAGTTCAAGTCAAGAACCTGTTAGATCAGTTGAAAAACAGACCCGAGCCAACCCCAGAAGCTCCTGTCAGAGAAATTGTGAAGATTCAGGAGACCAAAGATGAGAGACCTTACATCGATCCTCAAGTTATCAAGGACCTCCAGAACGCACTGGATACTAAGGCTGATATTTCTGCTTTAAGAGATTTGGAAAGATACCTTCTTCAGAGGCTAGATGATCTAGAGAATAGCCTTGATAGATTCGCTGATAAGAACGAGACTAAGAAAGCACTTAAAGCCTTAGAAAAGCAAATCAAGAACCTCTTTGACCTTTTGATGAACCAAGAAGCACCTACAAAGGCCGCAAGCGGAGAAGATGATGCCATGTTCGCAAAGAGACCTCTTGGCGGATGGTCCTGTGCATCATGAGCTAAAGATATAGTCAACCTCCAAGGAACGCAGGCAGAATATGTCCCATGGAGTAAATGGCCTCTAAGAGATCCTAATGAGAGAATTGCTAAATCTGGGCAAGGCTTCTCCAGGATTCTTTCCAACATGAAGCCTGAGTATGTGACTCAGCCAAACTTCTACCACCATGAATCGATCAGTGGGGATTACAAGTCCTCTCCTCAGCAGAAGCTCTCTATAAAGAAGAAGAAAAAGAGAATGAGACCAATGAGCGCCAATAGAGTACCAATTTAAGGCAAAAAAAATTGCAACCTCATTATGATAATTTCATAATTGGATTCAAATTTCTAAGTTACTAAGGGGTTTTGGGGTTTTGGGGTTTTGGGGTTTTGGGGTTTTGGGG